AAAAAAAAAAAAAAAAAAAAAAAAAAAAAAAAAAAAAAAAAAAAAAAAAAAAAAAAAAAAAAAAAAAAAAAAAAAAAACAGAAAAGTAGAAGAGTTTGTTGATGGGGGAGGATGAGGTTAGATGAGTTGCAGGGAGATATGGTGATTTTGATGGGGAAAGTAATATTGCTGATTACCCTCTAAATTTGGACCCACACATCCTTCTCCTTCACCTCCTCCTCCTCTTGCTCCTATGCTGTTATTTCCACTTCTGTTTTGTTGTATTCTCTCTGTCTCAGCTATCTGCAAATTCATACCATTTACGTATTCGTTTTAAACTATGTTTATGTCGACTAAAAAAAATCTATCTATATCATAATTTCCATCGTTCCTAACGGTAATTTTAGAATATTTTTCAAAATGTTAAAATTTTGAAATTTTATACCATAGATCACTTTATATTAAGTATAACAATAATATATATTTGAGCTATAAATACACGAAATTTCAATATCCATTATTTCCCAATTCAAAATATGGAAGATTTTTATATTTATGTTTGAAAATTTTAGAGAGCTCCTCTTTTATATCTAAACTTTGTAATAGATTAAAGTAGAGAACAGATGAAAATTAAATAGAAAAATAATGTGAGTGATAAATAAATAGTTTTTGTTTATATATTAACCATATGATTTCTTTTAGTTAATGAATATTTTTGGAATTTTGAAAAATTAAAGACATCTATTATCCTCCTCATGTAATTATTGAACTTAAATTATTTTAATAAAAAATATCCCAAAATATATTTATTAAAGTAGACTAGAAAGGCATGATGTATTAGTAGAAGTGCAGAAATAAAAATCGGTGTAGAACCAAAAAATAAAAAAAATAAAAAAAAAAATGAAAAATTGAACATTGATTGTAAGAAGAGACGGTACCTTTGCTCGTATCAGCTGGTTGGTGTTGTACAGTTCGATTTCCTGTATTTATTTGAAAATGGTTGAATATTTAAAATAAAAGAAATGTAGAATGAATAAAAGTGCATACCCTTTTGTGCATGTACTCAATCTCCGCAAACAGAACCTCATTCTGTGCACAAAAAAGAACAGATCTTAAAGTAAATGAAATCCAGATTAGATTAGGGTTTTTAATTAACTGGGTGGAGTTTAGAGACTTACCTTTCTTGATCGGATTCGGCTAATTCCCTTCTCCAGTTTCACCTGCAGGCTTTTCAGATCTTTCACCGACAACGAACTGATGGATTCCCCCAACAAATGCCTTCAATTCCAACCCTCAGAAACACAAATATGAGTCATTCAATCAATCAAAATCAATCGAATTACCTGTTTAGGTTTTGCATATTCCCGATTTCGGCTCGCAATTTGGCGGATTCTTGCTCGTAGAACTGAAACAGAGCCACCGTTACGATTAAGCAATCGGAGGAGGAGGAGGAAGAAGAAGAAGAAGAAGAAGAAGAAGAAGAAGAAGAAGAAGAAGAACCCTAAATGGATACGATACCTGTGTATTGGCTTCCGAAACGGATCCGGCGCTATAGGGATCCGAGCATGCCTTTTTGTACCTCGAAATTGTAGCCCTAACACTGCAAGAGTTATTTCAATTTCTTCGTTGCTTCAATAACATTCTTGTTAGGGTTTTAATACCATCCATCTCATCTAATCATCTAGAGTTGAATATAACAATAGAGATAGTATTCCTTACTTATAAATTCATGATCTTTCTCTAAATTAACTAAGGTGGGACTCACTCTCAATAATCCTCGACAATCCTCCCCTCAAACAAAGTACACTATAAGCCTCCCTTGAGGCCTATGGAGCTCTCGAATAGCCTCCCCTTAATTGAGGCTCGACTCCTTTCTCTGGATCCCTCGAAAAAAGTACACCATTTATTCGTTCCCATTTGTTTTTCTTAACCTCGTCCCTACTCCTTCATGTTTCTATCCTTGATAAAGCTAGTAAAAGTGTTGTTTCACTCGAACACTTTCTTATAATAGGATATTAAACTATTATTTTAATTCATATTACTTAACCGGTCATAGCTAGTAGGTACTATCAGCTTTAGTCCCTTACTTATATTCATGAGTCTCTACTAGGGAGAGATTTTCATGCTCTAATAAAGTATGTATGGGCGCCCTTGGGGCTTTCTATTTGATTGTATCAAAAGGTCCAATGAATTGGGATTTCCCTATTGGGCTAAGTCATTTCGAGGCAAGCGGATCATTTCTGATGAAGATAATGATTCAGAGTTATTGCAGAGTGGAACCATGCAGTACCAGACACGAGATAGATCTTCCAACGAACAAGACTTTTTTCGAATAGGCCAATTCATTTGGGATCCTGCAGATCCACTCTTTCCTATTCAAAGATCAATCTTTTGTCTCTGTGTTTTCGCATCGAGAATTCTTTGTAGACGAAGAGATGTCTAAGGGGCTGCGTACTTCCCAAACAGATCTTCCTATATGTATATATAAACGATGGTTTATCAAGAATATGCAAGAAAAGCACAAACCAAAGATGGCTTAGAACCAACACCGTTCGTTCCCTTTTTTCAACTAATGTAGAATCTCATAAGTTTTAAGACGGTGAAACTAATAGCCACACGTAAACAATATGTACTAGCTAGCGATGGACTTGGAACGTGTTCTTAATCTAGCTGGGGGTAGGAGATCCATGAGGCCCATAGGAAAGGGAAGGCAAGAATGGAGGTGGGCATGAAAGGAAAAGGGAGAAGGATTTGGTGGACCTGTTGTTGGCATACTCATAGAGGCGACCACGGGTGGAGAAGACAATAAGAGCCACCTCAGCATCACAGAGAACAGAAAGCTCATAAGCCTTCTTAAGCAAACCATTTCTGCGTTTACAGAAAGTAACTTGGCGATTTGTTGTGTTTTCAATTCTCTTGATTTCAATCTTCCCTCGACCACTTCTTCGTGGTTGCGACTGTTCTTCACCTGCCTGCTTCTGCTTCTGCTTCTGCATCTCATCTGGGTAACCCATGGCCGCTTGATTAATTATGTCTCAACCCAATTGCCTGTAAATCACATCAACATCAAAACAAATTTCTTACCCAAAAATAAAGCTCAAAACTTGGATTAATTACCTGAACAACTCCAAGAGGGAGAGAGAGAGAAAGAAGCAGTTCTTGGGGTTTGCTTGTCTTAAACTCAATGAGTGGGGTATTTATATCCCATTATTCACTTCCATAATTTCATCAAATTAAGACTTGGTCGTGTCACAAGAGTTCTACAAAAATCTGCCCTCCATTTCATTTTGATATGGGCATTACATTTACAAATCTCATTTCCATTATTCAAATCGAGCTCATTTTTTGAAGTGCTCAACAGCTTCGGTTTTGGTTTAATGTTCTTGATCGAGTTTAGATGTCAAAAAGGCATCGTATCCTATATTTTTTTTCATAGGATTATCACGATATAGAGTTTGAGAAGTACACGTTTTGAAGTATTAAATTCTATTCAATCAAACATTCAAACTTGCCTAATGTATTAATTTATTAATAAAATTGTTAATTTGATCGTAGCTTAACTGGTTAAACCACGTGTCTTCCACAAGATTAATTAAGAGGTTACAAAGGTTCAATTTATGAGCGGTGAATCAATGAATACGCGTGGTATATAATTTACTATTTTTCTTTTTAAACTTTATACTTTAATAAAGCTAAATGAGAAGAAGAAGAATAATTGGGGTTTAAATTGAAGTGGTCCAAAAATAATTTTTCACAAAAACAGATGAAACTAAATGGAATAATATGAATGAACACAAAAATTGGGGAACAAGATGCTATGCTTATAAAGGAAATTGAAAAGGAAATAAATAAATAAATAAAAACCTTACTTTATTCTTCTTCTACTTTGGTTTTTGTTTTTATTTATTTATTTTTATTGACTTTGGACCTTAAATAGCAAAACAGAATAATTTTGCTACCAAATTCAAAATTTCCCAACTTGGGAAAATCATACCTTTTTCATCTTTTCATTAAATTTCATTTTTCAATTTTAAGATTATTCTATTTTCCATTTAATTATATAAAAATCATAGCTATATTCATTGTATTCTATCTAGGATTATGTAGCTCCATATTAATTTCCATAGTTTATATTAAAATATAAGTTTAGCCATGGTTATTTAAATTTTGGGTTTAATAAGTTTTGGCATATTTATTTAAAATAAAGCATTATAAAATAAATTTAACCAAATTGTTATTAAAAATAATTACAACATGACGCTTATGGAAGCTCCTTTTGAAGTGCTATTCTAATTTTTTCTGCCATGGAAATTTGCTCAGCAGATCCGTTGAAATAGGTATCATTTTCCATAATAATACACCTAAGTCACCAGAAAAATTCACAGAGCGCTTCAGTAAAACATTACACGAACATCTTAAATCAAAATAAAAAGATGTTTTTTTTAACTTCCTCAAAGAACGTAGTTTTGGTACAACAGCTTATGCCCTCGTGTGAGATCCCATGTAGGTTGGGGATGAGAACGAAACATTGTTTAAGGGTGTGGAAACCTCCATTTCTAAAACTTTAAGGAGAAACCCGAAAGGGAAAGCCCAAAGAGAACAATATCTGCTAGTAGTGGACAAATGATATCAACAAGGAGGCTAAGCCCCGGAGGGGGTAGACACGAGGCAGTGTGCCAACAAGGGCACTGGGCCCCGAAGGGGGTGGATAGGGGAGTGAATGCCAGCGAGGACACTAGGCCCCGAATGGGGGTGGATTGTGAGATTGCACATCAGTTGGGGAGGAGAATGCATTTTATTTCTAAGGATGTGGAAACCTATCCCTAGCAGACGTGTTTTAAAAATTTTGAGAGGAAACGTGAAAGGAAAAGTTCAAAGACGACAATATCTGCTAGCGGAGACTTGGGCCGTTACATTTGAATCCTAATATTTTCCTTGCTTGTTTCTGTTGTCCGATTTGTTAAACGTATAGATAGCTAATGCACATACCTTAATGCACCTATCTGCATATCCAACATAAAGTTTGTCTTGCCAACACAATAATGCTGTTACTGTAGAATTTGAAGGGATAGATCCAAGATGTCTACAATCAATCTCGAGCTCGTTGTCGAATAACTCCTACGAATCGTTGTCTTGATATGTTAGAGAGAGAAAAAAAGGGATTGTATTTCGAACTTGGATAGATTCAAGGGTATTTTCCAGATCAACTTCGGGATATGTACCTGTACATTTATGGCCTTGTCCCGACCCCCGGTGACGAGTTGTTTCCCCAGCATGCTGGTGGCGAATATGGCACCATCGTGTAGTTTCATGGTTTTCATAAATACATCGTTCCTCCAAAGCTGAAGCAAACAAAATCATAGGTTTAGTCCTCTATCATCAAAAGAGCAAAGTAATGAAAGAGGTCATGTGTTCGAACTCTTGTAAGGTATTTTCAACCGAATGAATATTGATGTATGAGATTTCACATCGGTTGGAGAGATGAACAAAACACTCTTTATAAGGGTGTAGCAACCTCTTCCTAGTAGACGCGTTTTAAAACCTTGAAAGGAAGCTCGGAAGGGAAAGCCCAAAGGGGACAATTCTACAAATGGTATTAGAGCCACACACCGGACGGTGTGCCAACAAGGACGCTAGCCCCCCAAGGGGGTAGATTGTGAGATTTCACATCGATTAGAGAGAAGAAGGAAGCATTCCTTAAAGGATATAGAAACTTCTCCCTAGCATATGCGTTTTAAAATCGTGAGGCTAATGGCAATATGTAACGGACCAAAGAAAACAATATCTACTAACGGTGGGCTTGGACGGTTACATGCATGAGGGAAATCTTATATAGCAGAAGCAAAGTTTGAAGAAACTGAAACCTTTATAGATCCATTTTCATGAGTTGCAACAAGTATGTCCATGTTAGCAGCAAGACACAGAACAGAACCCAAACTTCCAGTTGATTCTTCCCCGAGCACGGCCAACTGACTACGATCGGAAAGACTCCATAACCGAACAGTTCCATCCCAACTGCCACTGTAAAGAATGCCATTACTGGCCAGAAGAGCAGAAACTACTGATTTATGACCATACATGGAGCCAGATAAGGTTCCATCCTAAAAGGCAACACTTTCAAATTTCAGTAAAAAGGATTCAATCTGGACAACTTATATAATCACCAATCACTGTACTTAACAACGTAGTTACCTTCAATGACCATGCTTTAACAGATCTATCGCCTCCACCGGTATAAAGGCACCCATTTCCGGAGTAGGCCAACGCATGAATACCATCGTAGCGCCAATCCTTCTCCTCGTACCATTTCTTTAATGGATCTTGCTTGAGAGGAAGAACAATGCTCCAGACATATATACCACCACCAATATCAGCACTTACACACAACGGTTGTTCTTCATCGATATATGCCAAATCCGTTATACGATGCTCGTGCCCGATAAATGTATGTACATGAGAGAAATCCTAACAATATCCAGAAACAGGGCACAAATAATTATCTGATATTCGAAAATAAGAAAAATAGATCAGATTCATTCAGTAAAACGCCTACTTGTAAAGACCATGCTTGGACAGTCTTATCATATGACGAGCTAAACAGATAACCCCCTACAAAAGAAGAGAAAGGAAGCATTTTAAAAAGGAATGAACGCCAGGGCACAAATACTGAAATTTTGTACATACCACCAACTACTAAACTTGTAACGCTATCACGATGGCCGAGCATGTCGCTGGACTTCACCATTCCAGCTGATAGCCCATCAACAAAAGCTTTCGTTGTTCTTTCCGCCCCAATTCGATCCATATCGTCGCTCTGAGTTTCAGTCAATTCGTGGGGAAGTTGAATGAGATCCCCCAGAACCAAGCAATGATCAGCACCATATTCATTAACTACAAGTTTCAAACTGCCCAAAGCATCCAACTCAGAAACAACAATCAATTCCCTAAAGCATCTCAACAGTTCAACAACACATGGACGGTTTTCGGGATTAAAACTTAAAGAACGGCAGAGTGTCTGATTCAATGATGAATACTCCGAACCGAACTTCGTGTTCAAACAAGAATTAACTTTCTCCACCCAACTCCCATAAAAGGCAGAGCAATCAGACTGAATTTCTTCAAGACTCACCACAATGCATTCCTTTCCAAGAAGAAGACTCAGCAAAACAAACACCAAACACCAAATATCGCACTTGTTCCCGACCGAACATAGAGTTGTGCCACATTCCAGCACAACGTCATCTTTACGCAGTAATTTGAGTAATACCTCTGGGCTGACAAAAGCCTCCTTCTTCATCAGATTACTAATAATAATTCCCAGTTCCTTGGTATCGAGTTTTGATCCGATAGAAACAGCTTCCACCGCTGTTCGAACAGTTCTTCCCATCGTCAAAACCCCATTTAAATCAACACAAACACAACCAAATTCACCAACACTAAAACATGAAAGACCAAGAAAGCCAATACTTAACCTCAGAGAATGCATAGCGATGATTGCTTCACATAACTCGGTGGCAATCAAGGCAAAACTGCATAAGTCATCTTTGTTCAAGCCAACCTTGTTTCTGATATCAAGTTTCTTAATCCAATTGTTAATCCTATCCACTAAGTTATCATTGCGTCTCTCACATACTAAGTACAGAAATCCATCCTCCAAATTACCCCATAACCCATATGTTCTACACATTCTTCCACCATTCATAATACCAGCTCCCAAAATCAAACCCAGTTCATCCCTCTCCCTATCCTTCAACTCGCTCAAGCATTTCAGAACCCTCGAAGTATAACTAAGCTTAAACACATGATCACTATTAGAACAAGGCAACGAAACGACTCGAACAAGACTTACAGTTCGGTCTTCTCCAACCCTAATCGGGAAAGAAGAATCTGAATCTGAAATGGGAACAATTCTTCCGAGCAACAGTCGCTCAACTCCGTCGTCAGCATCTCCCCGTTCGATCGAAACGGCGGCGTGCGGCAGGACCCAGTGCTTCCAAGCTTTGTAGAATTCATCAGACCAGAGCTGAGGAAACATCTCGTGGTTTTGATTGATGGGTTTTTTGGATATTTGCTGACCGGCGTTGTGTTGGGGGCAGAGTCTGAGGAGGTCGATGTTTTTGGGGAGAGCCGAAGCGCCTTGAGAGGGATATTTCACGAGAACGTTGCAGGCGGGACATCGAATGGTTTCGGGGTATCGCTGAGGGAGATTGTCGAGGCAGGTTCCGCAGGCTGAATGGCCACAAGAGAGAACGCGAGGAACTGTGGACTCGCCGTCGTACGTTTGCAGGCAAACTGGGCACTCGGGGAACTCCATTTCTGTATCTTTGATCATTCGTCCGCCAAGTGGAGGCAAAAATCAACAAGAAAATGGTTGTACGCGTGGAATTTTCAGGGAAATTTTATTGTTTTGCCCAATTCCCAAAATGGCCCTTCAAGTGAAATCGTGCAAATTCAAAGAAAAAGGATGACTTTTTCTTCATACATGTTTCATCAAGAAAGAACAGAGAGATTCACAAATGGCAATAGAAACAGAAAGCTTCCGAATCCAAGTTTCTTGGAACATCTTGGCTCAGTTGTCAACATAATCGTGTTACATTGTAATGTGCAAACAAAATGTACTCATAAGAATATGTAGCAATGTACAACATGAACTCTCAACCCAGAAACTTAAGAGGGAAAGAGAGTGGTTGAGAATTTGCAGTAGAATTGAATTGAGTAGAAGGGATTTCTAGAATGAAACATCAAAACAAACAAGTTTAGGAATTTCCAAGAAATTAGAGGAGTCGATGCAATGAAGCCATCTGAATTTTCCAGAATTATGAACAAAATAAAACATAATGAAGCCATGATTAGTGAACATAATCAACACTTGAGCAATCCAAGAACATTGGAGGTACCAGATGTTTTGCGCCGCCTTTTTCCAGCAATTTGATAACTTCATAGAATATAGCGTCTGCAAGAGGCTATTATTCAAAACTTAACATTATTCTGCCATGAGTAAAAATAAAAGAACTTAATTACAATTTTAATCCATAAACATAATTCGCTAGTGTTCAAGGTCTCTAACTATTAACAAAATCTTCATCGTTACATAGGTTTCTAACTATTAACAAAATCTTCATCGTTACATTCTTCTTTCTTTTCTTCACCACCATTGTCCTTCAAATTATTACTAAAGAATCAGTTTCGATAGATTAAACATACCATAATAACTGTACAAAATCAAGGACGAGAAAGAATTAAGAATCGTCCTTTTTCACAACTCGTCTGACAATTGCCAGGGGATCGATCGTTTCATCTCAACTCTCAGTCACTGCCATGAACAATAATATGCTTGCCCAGAAACTCACAATGCATCAAAACATATGTGCTTACTGATAGATTGGAAGACTATGAACAATGTGGTTCAGGTTGATGATGATGATCTTGGCTCTGGGTTGATATCATAGAACTCATTTCCAGATGTAGAGGAAGACCCAAATGTTCTCATTGTGGAATTTTGGGTGGAATTTTGGGTCTGGCTTTCACTCAGGCTTTGGTTCTGTTGTTGTTGGTTCTGTTGTTGTTTACGCATATCCCTCATTGCCTTGAACCTCAGATCTTCATTATAACTACTGGGTTCTGGGATTAGCTCTGGTATTCCCATTCTTCCTTCCAGCATGTTCACCACTTCCGACATCGCTGGCCTTACCGACGGCGAAGCATTCGTGCAGAGAAGGGCTATTTTCACCATGTTTTCCGCTTGTTTTTCGTTGATTTCTGATCTCAACTTCTCATCTACCAACTCCATGAGGTTACCAGATTGTTGCAAGTGACAGGCCTGCAATGAGAATTATTAACAAGTTTAAGGCCAGGCCAGAAAAGTAAGGGACAGGAAGAGCAGTAAAGTACCCAGTCAAGAAGACAAACACAAGTTTCGCTTGGTACATAATCATTGTTGCTTCTGCCACTGATAATTTCCAACGCCACGACTCCGAAACTATAGACATCTGCTTTGTAGGTGAGATAACCCCAAAGTGCATATTCGGGAGCCATATATCCTCTGCCACAGAGAGAGTGATTATTAATGAGGTTTAATTCGACATAAAGAGTGATTATGACATACGATCCTGATTAAGTGAGAGGATTGCGCATACATGGTCCCGGCCACTCGGGTAGTGATATGAGTCTTCTCCTCATCGTCAAGCTTAGCCAAACCAAAATCAGATATTTTAGGATTCAATTCGCCATCGAGTAAGACATTAGTAGCTTTGATGTCTCTATGAACGATTTTGAGGCTCGATTCTTCGTGGAGATATGCTAAACCTTTCGCTATACCGATACAGATTCTAAGCCTGGTTGGCCAATCTAGATTAAGCCGACTGTAAGACGGACCTATAAACAAACCAAAAACAAAAGGCTAGAACGATCGATCGATATCTCGTTGTAACTGCATGTATAAGCATATATGAAACGAGACTAACCGAAAAGTGCTCGGGCAAGACTATTGTTTTCCAGATATTCATACACCAACAACAGTTGATCTCCTTCAATGCAGCATCCATGGAGCTTGACTAGATTTGGGTGTTGCAAGCAAGAGATCATTCCTATCTCATTCAGAAATTCACGGTTTCCCTGCCTTGATTTGGAGGATAGCTGCTTAATTGCTACAATAGTACCATCAACCAATTCACCCTGAAAATTTACCTTTTATAATCACTTCCCTTCACCAAAACTAGACGAGAATTTATTTGAGAGGTTAAGTAAGAATACCTTATAAACAGGGCCAAAACCACCTTCTCCAATTTTATTACAGGAATCAAAATGATTGGTTGCAGCTTTTATTTGTTTCAGGGTAAAAATTCCAGTTTGCACTTCTATTCCTGCAAGATCTGTTCATGGTGGTACAGATGAAATATGGTAACATTTTTAGATGTTCTATAGATTTCCACGTGCGTTTCCTAAAACTCTTAAAGTAAATGTGTAACAGACTAAGCTAGATATTGTCTGCTTTGGCCCGTTACGGTTTAAAACGCATCTACCAGGGAGAAGTTTTCACACATTTATAAGAAATGCTTCGTTCCCCTCTCTAACTGACGTGGGATCTCACAATCTACCCCCTTGGATGCCAGCGTACTTGCTGGCACACCGCCCAGTGTCTAGCTCTAATACCATTTGTAAAAACTCAAGCCCACCGCTAGCAGATAGTGCCCGTTTTGCCCCGTTACGTATCGCTGTCAACCTCAAGGTTTTAAAACGTGTTTGCTAGGGAGAAGTTTCCACACCCTTATAAAGAATGTTTCGTTCCTCTCTCCAACCAATGTGAGATTTCACAAAATGAGAATCGAGTCTTGGTTATGATGATTAACATAATCAAGGCAGCACATAACTTATTTGTTTTCTTATTGAAAAGATAAATTATAGCAGATAAAGTTCTACAGTGTGACAACTGCACTCCGAACACACCTGTACCGCCTTTATTATGCCTGATTGCTCTAAGGGTGCTTTTCCACCGGAGAAGTCCCAATATGATGATTGAAGCAACACATAATACTCCAACCGTAACTCCAATGACGATGGCTACAGTTTTCGTCTTACCATTTTCATGGATTGAACAATATTTAACATCTGTTCAAAGGATAGAAAACACCATCACTCATGGAAACGATTCGAGTCCAACCGAAAACAACAATATCGGCTGTAAATGAGCTAAACTGAAGAGTAGAAATTTATAAATGACTGACCAGAATAAACAGAAATAGCTGATATAAGTGGACCATAGCTTCCTCTTTGAGGAATCCTAGTCGTCCCTTTTCCAGCCCAATAGAGTCGGATCTCCAGGACATGATTAATTACACTAACGTTAGCAAACTCCCTTTCTGTTGGTTTTTGTGCTCCTCCAGCCTCCTCTTCAATATCAAAATTCTTCAATACCAACCTATCCTGTATAAGCCACAGTTCTGAGACCATCTGCAAACTCGAATATTGCTTACCCTTTTTTAAGAATCGTGACAAATACCTGAATGTAGATATCAAATTTCCGCCTTCCAAGACTTGTATATGTCTCATCATTTGTAAATTGTAGCTCTGCAAAATGAAGCGTCACTAAGTAGTTTCCATTATCTAAGCAATGATGGAAATAAGTGAGCGTAATTGGACTTCGACGCGCTGTTGAGTATAGCTCAGACAAATTTGATGAAAGCAGTGATAAAGTGTAGCGCGTATTTTGGAAATCATCATCGTCCATGAAATCTCCAGTACTACTCAACCCCCAGTAGCTATCATGATCCGTATAGAGTTTTGCTGTCCCACCATCAACATTTGCGTCCCCGTTGTAGAGAACGCTTTTGTTGTTTACCTCCATAGTTAAGTCGTTTCCACCGGCATTGATGAACCAACATTTTGAATCTGTCATTATAAAAAAAGAAGAAGAGGGTGAGATAAACACAAGATCAAGAGCCAACATTTCTGTTTGCTTCCTCTTAAGGTTTTAAAACACATTTACTAGGGAGAGGTTTCCACACCCTTCGTTCCCCTTTCTAACCAATGTGGGATCTTACAATCCACCCCCCTTGGGGCCAGCGTCCTCGCTAGCACACCACCAGGTGAGATACCATTTGTAATACCTCAAACTCACTGCTAACAAGTATTGTCCTCTTTGGGCTTTCCCTTCTGGGTTTACCCTCAAGGTTCGTCTATTAGGGCAAGGTTTGCACACACTTATAAGGAATTCTTCGCTCCCCTATCCAACTAGAAAACAGTATGTATAACATTCCAGTTTCTCTATTTCTGATAATAAAAAGGGAATCGCTTACATTTTGAACAGATGGAATCCTTCAGGCAGGGGAGACTTTCCTGTCTGCAAGGACATGACCAAGTCAACAGTGAATATACATCAGATATCAACAAAAAACAACATAGTCAACAGTGAATTTTACTCTAATGATCATGTAGTCTGCAAGAGAACTTCATTTAAAAGGATAAAAATAGAGCAACGTACAAGGGGTTGCCGGTGGAAGAACTTCGGAACAAGTTCAGATTCATATTCCTGTCACAATATGGGAAAGATCGAACTTTTTTCAGTATCACACTGTAAAATATCTCAAAGAATATTTTTCTGAAGAATCTTACAAAGTTTTTCTACAAGCATGCTGCTCAGGGCCTTGCCATGTCAAGTTATTGTATGAAAGATCGCTGCATCAAAGTTATCATACTGGTTAGAATGAGATAGGCAATGACAGAGACCCACATATCCAGAAGGTAAAATTAAATAAAGAACCAAGAACATGTCAATCAAAGATTGAAAATGAAACAAAAAGGATACTCATAAACTATCTTATCTACAAACATTGAAGGCTCTAAAA